CTAAACAATAGACCTTAAAAGTCTATGACATCATCCATTGTCTTGAATAATTTTGCATGTAATTATAGTCACTGCAATGAGATAGACAGGAAATCTCTACTTGACCAGATTCTATTGTCTATTTCCGGCAATGATTGAAGATATCATTACAAAATGAACAAATCTGGGAGAGGTCCACATGTAGTACCTATATACGTAATATCAAAGCAATTGGACTTGCGGTTTTTAACAAGAAGTCGAAAATATAACTTTTTACCAAAAATGACAAAAATATTCACCAAAATTAGAGAATTGAAGATATCATTACAAAATGAACAAATCTGAGAGAGATTCACATGTAGTACCTATATATGTAATATCAAAGCAATTGGACTTGCGGTTTTTAACAAGAAGACAAAAATATAACTTATTACAAATCAAATCTTAGAGAGGTCTACCCAAGGTACATATACACCAAGTATCAAAGCATTCAGGCTTGTATTTTTCATGAAGAAGTCGCAAAAGTAAAACGTTGACACGGACGACGACGGACAATCACTCATATGATAAGCCCGCTCGACAAAGTCAACAGCTGAGCTAAAAATGTAATTGTTGACAGATGTACAATGACAATCATTTATACTAGCAGCTCTGCTCTGTCATCTTCAATGACAGCAAGCTAAAATGTACACCCCAATTAAGAGATATGAAAGACTAAACTGATATTATCAGTGTTTTACACACATTACAAATATGATAGCAAGATGAGATAGACTTACTTCAGTGAATCTGCCATTTTGACATAAACTGGCAGTACAGATTCTATGTCCTCAAGTGATACACGAAGTTTCTATTTAAAAACAAAATGTGTATTTATTATTATTTTTATTGTACAGCATACAATTGCTATTTTTCTTTACTACACACTGGTTTTGTCTTGATAACAGGCAGATTTATAGCAAGGAAATGCAGACAGATGTACATACTAACATTGACCTAGTCAAATGACGCTATAATCCTTTTTCTTAGCGTAAATGGTATTCATAACACATTATCATATGGTATGGTTTTGGTTTATTGAAAACTACTACATGTAGTCTATGCCTGTCCATGCTTAAATTCTCTCTCCTTAAACAGTACATGTATACTAAGCAGATGTTGGCAAAAATGCCATACTCAAGATCACGTCAACATCTCATTGTTTTAAAAAAATCATCACAGCAGACATACAACAGAAAAGTTACACATAGTAGTTTCATTTGGAATTGCCAACTCCAAAATTGTATAAATCAAACTGAAACAAAGGTTGATCCTAGATTAATAAGTGCTTTCTGAAAGCAATGGATGTTGGTAACCAGAAAATTGAGCCTATCTTTTTTTACTTATTGACTCTTACGCAATCCCCAGAGGGAAAGGAAATGGCCACAAGGTACAAGAAAAAAAATATATTATAAACAATATGCTAAATAACAAAATACAGTCACTAAATTACTAAATAATACAAAATCACTAAAAAACTAAATAATGTTGGATTACTAAAATGACAGCAGGCATTAAAATGTCAAGTAAGACCCTGCTTCCTGACTTCAAAGCTTTTACTTATGAACTGTGCTACTGGTATAATAATGTTTTGATTATGTAACAATTCCATGAATTTTTTCTCTGCAGGTTTATTTTCAAATGCTGGGATAATATCCTTAGTTTTATTGAACAGTTTGGTACACAACTCATTATATTTGTCGCATTCCAGTAGAAAATGCATTTCATCCTCAATTAGACTTTTGTTACACATGTCACAAACCCTGTTGTTTGAGGGGATTATTTTTATGATGACTAATTTTTTCATGAGACTATTGTCACTAAGATGCAATTTGGTGAGCATACTATGCAGTTCAAAGTTTTTTACCTTGACTAAATATGGCTAAATATATATATTTGATTAGCCAATATGTTCTCAGTTTGTTTTTCTCATTTGCTTTGGTGTGGTTATGAACCTCACCTTTCCATCTTGTTAGAAATAAATCCTTGATGCCCAAATCAATTTGTTTCATTTGTGTCAAGGTTAATTTATCACAGTTGTTAACTGAATGATATTGTTGAATATTGTTTAATAATGATGTGATACCATTTACTTTTAAAGTTTCGGTTAACTACGAAAGCTTTTTTGAGTAAAACATTATTAGCATTCATGGTCTGACTGTAATATTTAATTATTTGTTTTTTTATAAATACAACTAGGGGGTATCTGCCTAACTACTGTACATGGCCATAATTGGTGTGTGTTGTGACACCCCTAGTAGATACCGACAATAACTTAATTGAATGCCTTCAATAGGTGATTTAGTGGAGAACTCATCACCCCTAACATCACAACCATAAACGAGGATAGGTCTGATAAGTTTGTCAAAAAGGGAAATTGATACTTTTATTCTTATGTTTTGAATTGAGCCAAGCTTTGCTTTCATTGAAAACAAAGCTTTTTGAGCCTTACGTTTAAGGTTTTTTAGGCCATCCTTAAACCTACCATTGGCACTAATGACTAGTCCCAGATAGTTAAAGATTTAATTGTATCAAGTTTGTTACCTCATGTTTGTAATCCCTGTTTAGTTTTAGAAAGTATCACAATGACATCGGCATAGACATCTGAGTTTTCTAAAAAAGGAGGATCACAGGTACTAGGATTGAAAATACTGGGCAGGTCATTTAAAACAAGTCATTGTCAATGACACGTCCCAGTTCCGTTCATATTTGAGTGACATATACATTCAAAGCAGCAACAATATGGATGTTGAACTGCATTCAGTAAAACAAAATAGCCACCAGTCAGCCATTTTCAACACAATCCAAAAAAAAATTTAAACTAAATTTGCCCACGCATGACATAGATTCAGTTTTGGTATGGTGAAAATGTGCAATTTTTGTGAATTTTTGACCTTAAAAGGACTGGCCCAAATGCACAGGCATATGTATGATATAATGTATGATGTGTATGTGAAGTTTGAACTTGATCTGTCCAGGCATGTCCGAGATATGGATCGAAAACTAAATTCTTTAAAACAAAATGGCCGCCAGTTGGCCATTTTGAACTTGATCCGAAGAAAAATTAGTATGTATCAAGCTTATATTATGTTTAATATATGCACTAAATCTGAACAAAATCTATCCATGCATGACTGAGATCCGGTTCCGGAATTGTGAAAATACGTGATTTTGATGCATTTTAGACCTTAAAATGGCCATCATTCAGCTATTGTTAAGCGGATCATGAAACAAATGCACATGTCTATTTGTGACATGATGTACCATGTGTGTGTGAAGTTTGAACTCGATTAATCCAGGCATGTCTCAGATACAGATCCAGAACTGAATTCTTTAAAACAAAATGGCCGCCAGTCAGCCATTTTGAACTTGATAAGAAAAAAAAAAGATGTGCATCAAGGTCCTATTATGTTTAATGTATGTACCAAATTTGAACAAAATCCGTCCATGCATAACTGAGATCCGGGTCCGGAATGGTGAAAATGTGCGATTTCAATGCATTTTCGGCCTTAAAGTGGCCGCTATTTGGCTATCGTTAATGAGATCATGAAACAAATGCACATACATATTTGTGACATGATGTACCTTGTGTGTGTGAAGTTTGAACTCGATCAATCCAGACATGTCTCAGATACGGATCCAGAACTGAATTCTTTAAAACAAAATGGCCGCCAGTCGGCCATTTCGAACCCGATCCAAAAAAAAAAAATGACGTGCATCAAGGTCCTATTATGTTTAATGTATGTACCAAATTTGAACGAAATCTGTCCATGCATAACTGAGATCCGGGTCCGGAATTGGTGAAAATGTGCGATTTTGATGCATTTTCGGCCTTAAAATGGCCGCTATTCGGCTATCGTTAATCGGATCATGAAAAAAATGCATGTGCATATGTCCCATATAAGGTGTGATGTATGAGTGAAGTTTGAAATTAATCGGTCCATGCATGTTCGAGATACAGGTGATCACGGACGCACGGACGCACGGACGCACACAGGGCAAAACATAAGTCCCCGTTTTCGGACTGCGTCCGAACGGGGACTAACAACATCTCAAAGAATTTAACCAGTTGTTGATTCCCATGAATTCAAGCCACATGAATACTTCCTAGGCTTCAAGCAGTTGAATCGAAGCATACATGTACATACAAGGCAGAATTTAATATGTTGAAAAAAACCAAACAAGCTGCTCTCTGATTGGGCTGACTGATAGGGGTTAAAATTTGGTAGCCAATCGGGGGCAATTTTGTAAGTAACTTACAGTTGCTGGTAGCCTATGGTTGTTGCATCAGACTCATGGCCAGTAGACCCAAGTTTAAATCCTACCTACCCTACTCTGGGCCAGTGTGCCACAGACTCGATGGGAAGACCTATTCCACTGGCCGAGATTCATTCACTAACGAATGCGACTTTGGAGGAACCTTGGTTAAGGTCTGCAGGTGTTTGAAAGAGCCTGGTTGACGCCAGGATAGCTCATTAAAATTGACATTTGATAGGGAGATGGCCACACAGCCCTGTCATGTAGTCCCAAACATGAATATGAAATCTGTGGCAAAAATGCACTATGTGTCAGCACTAGCACTTGCAATTTGTACATACAAAAAAGTCAGGAGACACAACAGTGATATTCAATTCAAAACAGACACAGACTGAATCTAGCTAAGGTACATGTACTGCGACACTCACCAACTCAAGACACATGCTCTTGCAAGTTGGTGTCTAAAGTGTACAGATGTTCACATTAGAGAATTACCCAACACACCTAATTTACATCACGATAAATAATCATAACCTGTACCATTGGATTTAGACAACAAGCCTGTACTTTCAAAATTCCACTTGTCCATCTGGAACACACATTCCTCTCCTATACAATTGAAATGCAAATTACAGTAGAGTGTAACATTGTCCCAACTCAATCTTCATTTAGATTATAGAATAGAATCTTGCTTTATTGGCATTGTAAAGAAATTACATTTTTTTTTGATGAAGACTGAAAATTTTCTCACTGTGGGAATTTTTCTACAGTTTTCTGAATATAACTAATTAGTGTCAAATGTTGATCGCTATCCTTTTTCAGCATGTAAATAAATATGTTTGTGTTTCTATAATTGGTAAATGCACCATTTTGTGAAAATATAGCATATATATTGTATATTGCGATAACAATGATAGTGGCATTGTTTCTGCTCTGCTGTTAAAAATATATGTATGTATATGTATGTGTCCCTGGTAATATAACAACTCACATGCTAAGTTGTCACAGCAGATCACAGGCTAGTGTTGATCAGTGAGCAACATTTGCATGCTGGTTGGCAAAAACAAAAGACGTCACGGTACAACTTATACATGCATAACTTTTTAACCATAAGCTCTACCATTTAAATCTATGGCTAAACTGAGATGCAACAATTAGAGTAATTACTGCTTGCGAGTGAGAAAGTCGTCCATTTTCATATGAATATTTAAAACTATTTACCAAACCACCCCAAATACAATGTATCTATAAAATTCAACCCCTACATAGTAATGCACATAGTAATATGACTAACATGACCAGCTAGTGATGCCCAAGTCCAATGCAGACAAAAATAAATGAAAAAAACACAAAATATAGAAATATGTTAGTCAAGCAAAATGTTGCATATCTGTGGGTCAGCACAGCTGTAGTCAATATAAAATGACTATCATATTTACGAGCCATGTAAAAAAATTGTACGAACACAATATTATAAGATTGCTATCTTTTTAACTCCCAGGTGTAACATCCAGTGATGTAACATTTCCTCGTGAGAACACGGTTATAATCTTTATATGTGGAGTAGCATTACCCAAAACAAAAGCATGTCCTCTAAAGCAGTTACAGGTATTCCATAGACCGCATGGTCGTTCAGTAATCAAACAATGATTTAACTAAACCAAGGAAGATTTATGTACAGTGCCATCATGTCATCAGTTTGCCAAAGAACAGTTATTTACACAAGACAATGCAATGAACTGATAGCAAATACCCAATAAACCACCTGTGTAGGCCATCTTTCAAGGTAAAACCACATGGCTCAACACAATTAGGAACTGATACAAATGTACATCAAAGAAGAAACTGATAGAATTCTACCAAGTAAAAGAATTCTTTATTTATAACTACTAAGACTGATAGACTACCCAAAAATGAAATATCTGTTTAAAACCCTTGACCTTGGCATGATTGATATCAGTACTAAAACAAATAATTTTTTTTTTTTTTAATATTTCAAGTCAATTTTAAAGTTGTTGAGAATGGAATAATTGAGAATAAGAACATTATGAACATTAAACTAAAATATCGCCATCTTATTCATATTGTAGGTCTATATTAATTACAAGGAAAGAAAGCACAGCTACAAGATTAATTTCATATTCACCTACCTGGCTAACTTCAAAGCATTGATATCAGAATGAATGGCAGCGGATGGCAATGACAACCTCTTAACTCTCGGTGGCTTTGCAGAAGGTACAGCAAAGTGAACATCATCGGCCATAATCGTCGCCTAGTCGCGCTAGTACCTGTATTAATTAACAATACATTACTAACATGATGTAATGACCAGAAAATTGAAGTCAAGGTTTATTCGCAAAAGTTTTGAAGCAGGCGAATTTTAAATATAGTTCAGCTATAGTAGATTGTAGGGAAAATCTGTATTGCGTTATGCTGCGTTGTAGACGGACGCAACACTCCCATTCTGAAACCAAAACATCAAACGTAAAAATGATAAGGTACGAAGGATGTACTTATAAGAGCCCCCCCCCCGTCACTAAAAGAATGGCCCGCATAAAACGGACGCACAGAACTGATTTTGTTTAGTCCCGTTTGAGCTTACCTGTCTATACAAATTAGTCGTCACTACACACCCCAGAGTCTACAATAACACAATTACTAAGATAAATTAAACAATTCGGGCAACATCGTAATTTTGGCTCGGTTTTATCACGTAAACAACGCACTGTAACTTCTGTAAGCCGCCATTTTTATACTTACCGTACTCATCGCTGTTTTGGACCCTCTAACTACTCAAAGTATTTCGATTAAGTTATAAATTTTCTTTTAAAAGTAGAGAAGTGATTTTGAATAAATGAAATATTAATGAAAACTTTTTAATATATATGAAGACTGCGTGATCAAAATTGTGGTTTATTTTTCCGTTTTCTTAGTTTATAGAAAAAAGCAGCCTAACTCCAGTTATTCGTGAGCTTAAGTACACTCACAGCTGAGATCATCGTTCGTTCGTGTAATATTTTTATGATCGATTATCGATTGGAATTACTACTGCTAGCATATAATGACGTGATTTGAAATCGATTTCTTTGGATTTTTATACTTCCTTGAATTTCCAGGGTATAATCCAACTAATCTACGGTGAAATTTTGACTCGGTATTAGGCATATCTTCACATTTTTCTAAAGATGGCTTCAAAATCAAATAAGGGAGCACACCAGGAAAACTTCTCATTCGGTCCGTGGACTATTATACTCAACAAAAGTCACATTTTAAAGTCAAACTGTCTGTCGATCGATAGTTGCAAACAAGCTGATAATAGAACAACTGATTTATGCGTAGTATGCAAGTGAGTGAATTTTTTATTGTATTACATGCACTGCGATGTCATATTCAAGTCTATTACAGATGACAGACATAACAACTTGTCACATAGCGCCACCACTTGTGGTTGATGGGAGAGCCGATACAACTTAAACCAATGTATACTGTGAGACAAACACAAATCAGTTCATTCCCCGGGGTTCTATCACAGACTTGTAAATTTCCACTAGAATTTTTAGAAATGTAGGTTTTTCAAAATCGCTCCGTCTGTTCCTTCATTTCAGATTTCAAAAAGAATTAGCATTACCCCAACTACCTGAGATGGTGTTTGCTGAGAATCTGTTACGTATATTACACAGTGATGGGTTTGGCATTGAATTTAATACCTTGGATGCATTAAAACTGGTTGATGATAAACACGATTTGATGAAAGTGGCAGTGGCTGAACGGTGGAGAGAAGCGAGGTAAGTACTAGTATTCGATGTTGACAGAGGAGACGTCAATCGCTGATTGCACAGAGAAAAACTTTATTTTAAAACTGATAAATTTGTGCTATGTTCAATATGGGTTCTATGCGACAAAAACTATGGGCATGGAATACAGTTTGTTTACAAGAAATGTGACAAATTTTCTGTAGCATTGAAATATTCTTGAGAATGCTTCATTCACAACAATGTAGTTTATATGTTGCTCAAATTTAGGTCTGTTTAACAATTTTGGACTGGGATCCAGCTTAATTTCACAGTGTATGTCTGATACTACAAGTACTCTGATGACAATTCAATTTAGTTTTGAACCCAATTGCTTGATTGCATAATTTGATCAAAATTGTTTATTATTTGAAAACAATTATGATTATTTTGTGAAAGGTGATGAGACTTACGGTAATTACAGGGTTAAGGGTCAATTTACTAGTATTCTGATTCATGACTATTGTTTTTTTATCAGACAAGATAGTGAATTCATTAACGAAGTCATCAAACCTTTTGATTGGACGTACACAACAAATTATAAAGGAACATTACTCGGGGAAGATGAAAAACAGTTGAAGGTGAGTGGTTACTTAAAAGTTGTATTGTTGCATTATGTGTGAAATCGAACGTAAAAACAGGTCATATAAAGGTCATAGCATTGTAGTGGCGACAAACATCACGTGGGATTCGACAAACACAAAAGTATTTTGGGGATATTTCCATGCTTAATAATGTGTTGTACACATTGAATGATGGTCAATTGTGACGAAGTAAGGGTATTCAAACACAATATTCCCCTGTCAAAGATCGGCATTTCGATGTGAGCTACAAAATAAAGAAATTCAAGTTCAAAATCAAATCATTCATTTTTGTGGCAGACGTTCAATGTGCGGCTTTCATGCAACTCGTGAGATCTCGCAGTAGAATGGAAAATCACCTATTGGAAATCATAAAATTTCTAAAATCCAACAACTCAGCTGCTGACCTGTTTGATTTCACTTCACAGACCATTCCAACAGATGAGAGGATTGACATGGAAAAACTGAAAATCAGAGAAAAAATATTTTACTTTGAAGAGGTGATTTTATTCGAAGATGAGCTTGCAGACAATGGTGTGGCTTTTCTCAATATCAAAATTGTGAGTACTTTTTAGACCATTAAATCCAAAGACCCCCAATAAAGCTATGAATGCTCTCAGAATGCAACTTCATTCAACCTGGTCAATAATCGTTTATAGGTAGTGCATTTCCTGTTTGTGTATTTTGACCAGAACTCGTTGGGATTCACTAAAAAAAAACTCCACAGATCTTTAGGATATGTTTTTACTATGTCCAGGAAAAATGGAGATGTAATATTAGTTTTTAGAAACTTCATTTTATGTTATATTATTCTACAAGTGACATTGAGATTAATACAGTATATGAAGTATTAATTGAGGAACTCATTGGCTTGTATTTTTCTTGTCAAATTTTACTTAGACATGATGTTATACTAAAAATTTGTGAGAACTTGTATACACAGATTAATACTGTAACAGTACATGTATTGCTAGAAAAACATGAATATTTTTGTAATTATGATGCCAATAAAAGTGCCAACATTTTTCCCACCAATATTTGCTTAGACTAACATTTCAGTATTAAATTCTAGTCAATATGTTTAGATGCTTTATTGTATTGTTTCAGGATGTTTACTCTTACTTTTGTTATGCCTGGAAAAGGTCATATCAGACAAAACCTTTAGTAAGTTAGCTTGTTTTGATGTGATGTTTTTTTTATTTTAGAGAGTGATGCAGTCCAGTTTTTTTCTACTTATGAGATTTTTTCTGAGAGTTGATGATGTAATTATCCGTATAAATGACAACCGACTATATCATGAGGTAAGTGTGGAATGGAAGACATCTTTCATCTTAATTACTTTGTCTTTTGTCAGCTATTTGTGCTTTAATTGCAATATTCTGTAATAAAGTTGTATTATGTATTCCGTAACACATTTCAAAATTGATGACATTTCCATTCAAAATTACAGAATGACTGGAATTACATGTTGAGGGAATACACTTCAAAAGAGAAAAGAATTTCAGATCTCATTTCTGAAGGTGTTTCCAGCAATCTTTTTACAAATCCAGTCAATATAGCTGAACATCTGACTGTTGTGGAGGAGTCCTTCGAGAAGTTAGAATTTCTGGAGTCAGTTGCCACGGAAAAGTGAATTAGAATTTATAATTGTGTATCAGCCATTTCTTTCATGGGAAAATGCTATGGTAGTAGCTGCACCACTGGTTACCATGGTTATGAAAAATACAAATATTGTCAACTGCTGTAAGGTTGGAAAAAATCATGTCATTTTGTATCAGGTTTACCCCTGCATCTGAGCCCTGGAAATCCTATACATAGCTATTCATTTTGATAAATTCTGTTGTGATTGTAGATATCTTAGGAGATTAGAACTAGCCAGTGTGTTAATATCCACATATGGATAACTATCCACAAGTAAGAGTTTCCGACTGCATAATTTTGTAATTCTACAATGTATGTATTGTAATTACGGTTGTACTGAATTAATGCATTTGTAGAACCAAGCTGGAGTTTTGTTTTTTAGAGTAACTTTACGAACTGTATATGAAGTGACTTCAAGAAGCTCTCCTTCAAATTATGTGCACATACTCTGTTTTGATGTGAAAGTGTGGTACTGCATTCAAATTTGTATTTTCCAAGAAAAATAAAAAGCTGTGTTCTTCTTTTAAATAATAAAGAATGGACATGATAGAACAATTATTAAAATTGTTTTGATAACTAATGAAGCTGAATGGTGAAAATGATCTTGGTATATTTGATGTGGGAAGAACCTTGTTAGGTGAGACCCTTGTATGTGTTACACAACATCTAATTTGGTAACCTATAGTTTAACATATTTGATTACTGATTACTGGAAATAATACACCATCAAAGCATGTAACAATACTGGCGTTCTAAGTGTTTGTGGTTTTGTGGCCAACAAAGTTCTCAGGTGTGTTCAATTCCCACATTCAGTAACAGTGAGATATGCAACAGATGAATACATTTATTAGAATATTCAGGAAAAAAAAACATTTGAACTTCACAAATTGTCATACAATACACAAATACGTTGAGTAAATTTTCAAAGAGTGCTGGTGTGTTTTGCACTTTGCCCAGTCTTTGGCTTCAAATACCAAACAATTGGACATGGAACAATTGCTTATGTACAGTAATATTGAATATATCACATAGAAAAAAACTGTGCACAAAGATCTCAACCCTCTGTATATTTTTTCGGCATCCTTGAAACAACATCATGGTATAACTTTTAGGTGATCAAGATATACAACTGGTCTGCATGTGTATCCTGTTGATCTGTGGATGACTTGTACAAATGACATTCATGTATGTCTTTGATGTAATGAAAGGCAGTACAGTCTTGAGAAGATGAACACACTGTGGCACACTGTATAACAGAATTACGGAGTAGCTGACTGATTCTCGTATAATAGACGTCATTCGGTATTGATTGATGAAGATGATAAAAGCTGCTCACAATATTGCCTGGATGAGTGTCTGCAACTAAGAATGTGTTTTTGCTAATAATATAAGGTTATTAC